CTGAAAAAATGGTAACTATCTAGTAAATTATATTTAATTTAAATAATATTGTATCTTGTGTTTTCCTTTGGTAGAGTTTTGCATGGCAATCCATCACATAAAAGTATAACTCGTTTTTCAGAAAATCATAATCAAAATAATTTTATTTGTTTATGAGTTTCTTGTTGACCAAAAATTATTCTTAAAGATCTGCGCATCATTTCAAGTACAAAAAACTATTCAAATTATGTATTGTATTGTTGATGTAAAGTGTCGGTAGTTTTTTTTTAAATTGTGTTTTTTTAAATTAAATATGTGTCGTCTTTGAATATATAAAATTTGTTCAAATGTATAGGGTTTGGATAGAAATTTTAATTGCTGAATGCTAACAAAACAAATGGGAAAATATTAAATAACAGGTGAAAAAAAAGATTATGGTGCTAGTACTGTTATAAATGAAATAATATGATAATAATGAAAAATTACGTTAATGAAACAAAATATAATGGACTATTGAATTAAAGTAAAAACGCTGTTATTAAAGCAGTTAAGAAAAGAATTTATAGATACAATTATCTTAATTTATCAACAATAGATCGTGAAAGTGGGTTAATACTAATAACGACTGATAATATCATGATATCAAATTGCTATTTTATGAAGAACAAATAAGTATTATTGGAAGTGAAACAATTTGAATGTTTAGCATTTCAATGCGAAACAAAGTCTTAATGTGATATAAAGCAAATGATGCATAGTTTTGCTTCTACATGAAATAACATGAGTCTAAAGCATGTCATGAAACAGGTCAAACTTGGCCCAGACAAATATGTACATAATATGAGAAGTTCGTGATAATATACGATATTTGTACAATTTTCAACAATCTATGTATATAGTAATTATGAGTCAAATATCAAATGAGATGGGATCAGAACATTAATCTTGGAATTTTTAAAATTTTGGACTATTCGTTTAGAATACCCAGATTCAGATGCGATAATGCCCAGAGGAAATGGATTTTTAATGACCATTGTGATACCACCAATTCTAATAATTGGATTGATACGCCAGACTGACGATTGTCTTGAAACATCTGCTTTGTAGGAAATTTTGCGAAGCTTTCAATCTAATCAAAGACCTTCAAATTTATCTTACTGATTGTGAAAATAGTTTTTGACCAAATAGAAAGAGCATGGGCATTAGAGATTATCGATTTTCATATAATTACAAAACGTGTTGAATGAAATGGTAGTCTTAGTTTAGTCCAAGACTTTTATATCGGTGACAATCACAATCAAAGACAAACGAAGATATTTTAATACTTGCAGAAATAACTCGGTCGTGAATATTGATTTGCTAAGTTATAATGGCAAAATCGTGGAATCTTCATTTGACTTACCTGATTTCTGGGGCAAGTTATTTCCGATCTTCGACAAATTATTTATTGGTTTAACATATATCACTAAATTTGTGAAATCATATGAATGGAGACATGAGATGCAGAATGGATATTATAAAAATAAAAAGTGAAGCTGCAGCTTCACTGATCGATTTTACTCATAAATAAAATCGATCTCGTACTCATTCAGCAAAGAAAATGAGTTTACCTATACCAGATAAGTGTTTTTTTTAAATTATAATTTCAAAGAAAGTTCTCGGATTACAGTTATAGCAGAAAATGACACTATGATATATATATATATATATATATATATATATATATATATCTACTTCATTAAATATTTAAACTCACACATAAACTGCTATCATCTTGCCTTAAGGCTGAATTAAGGCACAAATCCTCAATTTCAAATTCATCAAAACCTTCAAATGTGTCCATTGATAATTATTTCTTGAATACAAGAACACCTGAACTCTGGGACAAGTTATTTCCAATCTTCGACAAATTATTTATTGGTTTAGCATTTATCACTAAATTTGTGAAGTCATATGATGGAAATGGAGGCATGAGATGCAGCATGGATATTATAAAAATAAAAAGTGAAGCTGAATAAAATCGTTCTCGTACTCATTTCACGATATTTGAAACCGATATTAACAATTTGTATTCACAATTGCAAATGTTGAGAAAATTTTGGAGGATAATGAATTACTATTTACCCAAGCAATAAAATACATTTAAGTAATTTTTAATATTCAACAGACAACACATCATGAAATGCGTAAAATGTAATAGTATTGTCTTTGTTTTTGACCAATATTTCTAATTGGAAAACAACAGACACTCAAAAGCATATCAACAATACATACAAATTACATCTATGTGGTAATTTGAATGTAAAATTATATAAATCAATTTAATAATATAATTACAATCATCATATATAATAATATAAGAGCACATATTATATCTTTGGTATATATATAGGTAAAACAAAGTATTTTGTCTTATAATTATACATTCACTGTTTCTACTTACCACTATATTTCATATACACATATATTGCGCGACATAAGATTTATTTTTGAGCATACAAGATGCTGCACATTTTGTTCGCAAAAATAGGTTCCTATTTTTATATTATTATATGTATTAAAAACAAAAATACTTTATCGATATTTTCTGGTTCTTTATACATTCTATTTTTTGTAATATTTTAATATAAGATTTATTTTCTTTTTATGTTGTTGTTTGTGCCATGGAAACTCTAGTGGACTACTTTATTTTTAATATCTGAACGATTTATAAATACCACTTTACCAGCAACTTCAATACATCGGCTCGTTTCATACAAGCCATAGCATTGAGTACCATATTATTTAGATCCATATCTTTTACTTCCATCAATTCCCAAGATAAATATGTGCCGTAGGAAAGTAGGCAGTATATCGATCCCTAAAATATATTTTGATAGGAGTATGAATTAGTGAAATTAGTTATGTTTAATCTTTTGTCTAATTGACATACCTCGATAGGAAGATTTCTTTCAAAGACACCATTCCTAAACACTTTAAATTCTTCTAAAAAATCATCCCATATATCTAAATAATTTATGTTATGTAAATAGTGGAAAATGTATATTTTCTTCAGAGAATTTACAATCCGAGGAAAATCCTCTTTCTTAGCATATTTTGGATCCATTTGCTAGAAAGAAAAATTATTTCTGATCAAGAGATGAATTGTTTGACAACTTTCTACACATGACAAAAATGTAATTCGTATCCCATACACAATACTTTGCCATATAAGATATGGCTCCATATATACAAATGAGCATTCGTCGACAATGGTCGATATGGCGGCATCGCAATCTGCAACAATGCTTGCCCTTTTATAAAGGCAATGCAAAGTCTTGCTGCAGTTGTCTAACACTATTGTGTCGGTACACTCCTGGGCGATGTTTTGCAGAGCGCCCAATAAATTCCTTAAATGCTGTAAACATAAAACACTAGTTTAAAACTAGTAAGTATATATTAAAAAGTTAGAAAAACTACAAATGCAAGATGCATCAACATTCCCATATGCAATTAAAATTTCTGGTTAAAATATAATATACTCCTGCTGGTGGCAATTCAAGCACAAAGACAAGTAATCCTTATAAGTATTCATAGGTACAAAAATTAAAATACTAACCAGATCTTCCATCTCACTTGTATTTTCGAGGTCAAAATATTGAGGTATTCTGATCAAATGAATAATACAATTCACATTGGTTTTGAAGCGAGCCAACAGAATTGCTATCACAGGCATTAGATGTTTTGTGATATTTAATTTTTCTTCCTTCATTTGTTTTCTTTGTTTTAAACTTGGGACCTGTACATATGAAAACTAATGAAATTTAGAAATAAAAAATAATGTTTAAACATATAATCAACACACTAAAAGAAGAAACAACTGGATAGTTTTACCCATTTGCATGTACTGACATTAAAACCAGGGCAGGGTACTTTTACTTGATCGGTTTAGATTTAGTTAATGTTGTACTTCTAATTGGACTTATAAATTATTGCCTTTCTGCTGCGCAATATTCAAAAAAGATTTTAATACTTTGTATGTACCTTTCGAACACGTTGGAATACCCATGATCTTTTGTAAATGCGAATAGACAATTATACACGTGTTCTCGAACTTAGCTGATAATAAAACCCATGCCTCGGAGTAATTATTATCAGTGAGGGCTATATTATTAATTACAGCTGCAGCTTCGCCAGGCACATGACATTTCAAACAGTACAGTTTTTCGACGTCCGATAAATTAACATTATTGTGGATTGTGGATGTAAATAAGTCTCTAAAACTAATCCACTTGTTATATTTACCATAAAAGTTGGAATTTGAATGTTCGGTAATTTTATGGCTGGATTAACACAACAACTATTATTTTGTGTACTATTTGAATTGTCTATGTGATGCGTGAATTTAATGCTTAGCTTTAGGTAAAGATTATCTATTAAAACATCTTCATCCTGCTCGCCAAGCGAGTCGTGGATGGCTGCCCTGACCCTTTCGCGCGAATCTATTATCAAACATGCTTTTAATACCTTTTATCATTTCTGAAGAATGTTGCTCCCAATTATCATTATTTAACCTTTCGAGATAAGATTTGAAGCTTTGTTGCCTTCTTAAAAGTTTAAGTTCTGCCATTTTGATTGTTTTTAGAACTCAAGGTAACTTAATTTAATATTCTGATAGGGAAGGGAACCGTTACAAAATTTTACTTATAACAGGCGTTATGCAATACCAGCATAACGCCTATAAATCTATAATTAATTGATTATTTAACAATTCTAATGTAATATTATTAGAATTGGAGTCTAGCACATCAATATTATAAGTTGTGGTGTAAATAAATTAACAAATATATAAACCAATAATTAGTAATGTTTATAATAACTAATATATTTCATAAGATTTAATAAACTAAGGATTCACGAAATTGGCCTAAAATCTTAGAGCAAGTTCCAATTTCAATCAATAATATGTCCAGGTTTATATAATGAAATAAAATAATGGCTTATCTGGTGTAAAAAAACTTATTTAATTTGGAGTAGTTTCTTTTAATATTTCGAAATATTTCTATATCTCAAATAATTTAGTATTTTTGTGATATTACTTGACATAAATAGAATAATTACAGATTTGATATTTAATAGAACATTTGTGCAAAATTAAATAATGATGACTGATAATAGAGCAACTGGCCCATTAGATCATGGAGGTTTGCAACAAACTCTTCCTACAAAGATATTTGTGCAAAGAGATTATAGTGATGGAACCTCTGTAAAATTTCAAACTAGGTTTCCTCCAGAACTGGAAAATAGGATCGATAGGCAAGCTTTTGAACACACGATTAATCAATTAAATTTGTATTTTGCTGAAGCTGAAAAAGCAGCTTGTAGTACATATTGCGAAGGATGTCTTGCTTGTTTAACTGCCTATCTAATATATATTTGCACTGAGACGCATTATGAAAAATGTCTTCGGAAAATATCTAAATTTATAGCATCACAAAATGAAAGAGTTTATATTCCAAGAGGTTTACTACTTACAGATCCGACACAAAGAGGCTTGCGTGTAATTGAAATTTCATTTCTTGACAGACAGGGTCCTACGTGACTGACAATCTCACATTCAACAGAAGAATTTTTTATGTAAACAATGTATTTTTAATATATAATTCAAGACTTTTGAGATTATGTATATTCTTCTATCTATATTGAAACTTAATATAAGTTGGCTTATGTAGCACATAATGCATTTATATGAAATAATTATCACAAAGAGTTGCCGAAGATGTATATACTATTAACTGGTAGATGGTGTTAGTTTTGTCTGAATTATATATTCATAGATAAAGGACTTGCGCTATATTTTAAGGCAATAAGCAATTTTGTACCAGAGTTCATTTTCATGTATGTATTTAAATTTACAGATTTTTTAATATTTATATCTTTTGTAATAACTATTTATAAACCCATTAATTTAATAAATGAAGGCAAATGAAGTGTTGATTTGACGGAAAACGTGGCGGTATCTTCGAGTGGATCCAAATTACTCGTACTGGAGAAATCACTCGTGGTACAAAAGTTAAACAAACACGATGAACAGTAGAATATCTTTATTTTAATATATAATTAGAAATCATTTAAATCACCTAGAATACACGATGTTATAGGTTAGGTTGTTTGTATACAAGAGAACATATATTTTGTACAAAGCATAGTCGAAACCTATGCGCAAGATGGACGCTTTGCCCGGTAGTGGGAGAAGCCATACAAATAGTAGCGCGAAATTCAAATTAAAAACATATTTATCCATCCTCCCGGGCGATGCTAAGCATCTACAATTTTTACAATAAAGATACACACAATGCCACATGAATGAATACAATTCTAAATTCTTATTTAACTTAAACTATATTGAACATATTTCAACGTAATCATAGGTGACATTTTTCTTAAATCGATAACATATGAATGAAAAGTGGACTGTATTAAATGAAGTAGTAATGCTTATAAACTAGTATACTTAAAACTATTGACATAAGTAGTATTATAAGTCAATTTTGATTAGTGTATATGAAATGAATAATAATAATACATAGAAATGCGAATATGGTGCAATTGAAAAAACAATAATAACTAATTATATAAACTTAATTAAAATTATTACAGTATAATGAAGTAACTTGTGATATAATCCTTAATTATCTTAATTGCTTAATTATAAAAATTTGATTAATCGGTACATGGTAAAGGTACAATTTTTACAATAGGTCTAGTGTGAATACCAGAATTGGTTTTAACCACCACTACTCTAACTTTTCCATCACGACCTATCTTAATTTCCATCACACGACCCATAGGCCATTGGAGTGGTGGAGAATTGTCTTCTTTAATTAACACTAAGTCATTGACCTTTACATTAACTTGGGTCTTTGCCCACTTATTCCTACGTTGTAACGTACTTAAATATTGCGTTGACCAGAGTTTCCAAAATCGGTCTCTCATGGCAGTCATTTGCTTATAAATCTTATTGAGATTCACAACTTTGTCTGACAAATATGGTTCTGGAATTGCTGTTAAAGGCTCACCTATCAAAAAATGTCCCGGACTAATGTATGACAAATCAGAACTGTCATCAGTGGTTGCCAACAACGGTCTAGAGTTTAAGACGGCCTCAATCTGGACTAACACTGTGAAATATTCCTCATAGGTAAGACAATACGATCCAATTACCCTGCGTATATGATGCTTCATACATTTAATGGAACCTTCCCACAAACCTCCAAAATGTGGTGAATAGGAAGGAATAAACTGCCATCTAATCCCTAACTGTGCACTAACTTCGATTAGGGTCTGTTTTACCAGATCCTGTTTGAAAAAACGATACAAATCACTTAACTCCCTACTTGCACCTACAAAGTTCCTACCATTATCACTATGGATAACACTACAACACCCTCGACGAGAAACAAAGCGCCGCAATGTTGCAAGAAACGCATCAGTAGATAAACTTGAGACAAGGTCCAGATGTACAGCCTTTGTCACCATGCATACAAACAGAGCTATATATGCCTTCACGCGTGGAGCCTTTCGTAAACGGCTTGCTCTCAGAATAACTGGTCCAGCGAAATCCACCCCTACAGCCTGAAAAGGTCTTTGCTTAGTGACACGATCCATTGGTAAGTTTCCCATTAATTGCTCCGCTGTGGTAGCCTTAAAGCGTATACATTTGATGCATTTATTTATTATATTTTAATTGTGTTCCGACCTCCTATAGGCCAGTAGTTTAACCGCACATTAGCCAGTTGTTGTAATTGAGAAAATAAACTTCGCTAATGAGAACTCACACAGTTTCAATATATGGTTTATTACAATAAAAAATCAAAACGACGATACTTCTATACAACTTGTTTGTTCTATTTGATATAATGAGTTTATTATAAAATTAAAACGGAGAATAGTAAATTTTAATGTTTCTTCAGCAGTGGTCGGCAAGCAAGAGACCTTATCTGTGTTTCAAATCTCTTAGCTCCCTTGGTGGTTGAAGTGGTATTAGATCCTAGGCGAGTCCCAGTGCTCGAAGTGGATTATGATCCTTTTATGCATAAAGTTGCCAGATGGTACAACACCATCCCCCTTAATGAGATTATAGTCGATACCAAATTTTACAGTTCAAAAACTATAATCTAAGAACGATATGAAAAAATCCTAATACAACAAAATATAACAAAATTGATTATGAATGAGTATGGTATACATCTAGATGGCAACAAACATAAGATAAAATAATTTTGATTACAAATTTGATATCATACAGAACTTGACAAATATATAATGAGTTACAATAAAATGAAGATAAAATGACAATTTAATTAACAAATGGTTTTATTCTATTAACATGAACCTTTAATAATTTGGTTCCACACAGCAAAGTGTAATTAACTTCAGAGTCCCTCGATTGAATTTTATATGGACCTTTCCAAGGCATTACTAATTTTTTTGATTTACCTTTTGGAATCAATTCATTTTTCAAGAGGACCAAATCACCTATCTTAAACTCAGTAATTTTGGCATTTTTATCAAAATATTGTTTTGAAAGTTCTTTACTCTGCAAAAGGTTCTGTCTGGCAATGTCAATAGATTTCTGTATTTTAAATTTTATTTCTTTCGCATAATCATCAAAAGTATATTGGGAAGTTTGAGGTTTTGGAAGGGAAGAAGGTATTTCAGGGTTATATCCAAACATGAGTCTATACGGACTGAATCCAGTCGATGAATGGGGAGTTGTATTGTACGTAAACATGGCATAAGGGAGCCAACTATCCCAATCAGACTGATCAGTTTTTATAAAATTTCTTAAATATTCTGCAAGTGTTCGATGGGATCTTTCTAAAGCCCCATTTGACTCAGGATGATATGAGGTTGTTTGAATTTTCGAAATTTTTAGAATTTTACAAATGTTTTTAAATAATGTACTCAAAAAATTGGTACCTTGATCGGTTAAAATTTTTAATGGAATTCCATATTGACAGACTATATTTTCTACAAACGCTCTAGCTATTGTCTCTGCATCTTGGCTCTTTAACGGTATGGCTTGACTAAATTTTGTTAGTAAATCTTGAAACGTTAATATATATTTATTTTGGTTGCTAGTTTCTGTTAATGGACCAACTATGTCCAAAGCGCACTTGTCAAATGACCTAACCGGAGTGTCAGTGATCATCATAGGGTACTTTGATTTATGGTAGAGCTTATTCCTTTGACAAATTTCACACATTTTTATAAATTTACGTAATTCCTTTTTTAATTTAGGCCAATTATGCTGAACAGTAATACGTTTAAGAGTCCGGTTGTATCCTTGATGTCCTCCCAACGGGGTGACATGAAATTCTTTAAATATTGTATCTTTTTCGTCTCTAGTCAAATTATTAAATGTATAATTATTAATGATAACTAAAATTGGCGTATCCTTAAAAATGAATCTAATCATACTACGAATTTCGGTCCAATCAATTAGATCATCTTCCACGACTATTTTTGGAAGCAAAATTTCATTAATGTTATTTTCTATACATAATTCTCTAAGCCTAACTAAAACTTTAAATAATATCTTGCTTGTTGTTAAATCAGTTTGTCTAGATCTGGTTATCAAATAAAATATAAAATTGTCATTATTTTTAAAAGGTACTACATCGCCTACTTCCTTACCTAGACTAATTAATTCGTTAATATTATTAAATCTATCCTTAAATTTCTTAAATAAAATATTATCGCTAACAAAATCTTGAGGTACGTCTAAACATAAAGAACGATTTTCGAAAAATTGTTTTTCATCATTAATTTCCTTAACTCTATTATTTGTTATTATACTACTTTCTAATTTATTCTTAAATACATCGTAAGAGTCTTGAGCAGTGACAAGGAAAATTCTACTAAGGGCATCTGCATTAGTATTTGAAGAGCCTTTCTTAAATTTTATATCGTAATCATACTCCTCTAGCTTGATGCGCCATCTCATCAATCTAGAGCCAGGGTCCTTTAGATTCATAAGCCAAATTAAAGGCTTATGGTCAGTTATAATATTAAACTTAACCCCATAAATATATGGACGAAAATGACGTACTGCCCAAACTATAGCCAACAACTCTTTTTCTATTGTTGAATAATTTTCTTCCGCACGATTTAGAGTTCTACTGGCAAAAGCGATAGGTAGATCTTTACCAATTTCACCTTGAGAAAGCACAGCTCCTATGGCTTTCCCAGATGCATCGGTTGTGACATTAAATATTTTTTTAAAATCGGGATACTGGAGAATGGGAGCTTGAACCAAAAGTGATTTTAATTTTTCAAAAGAATTTTGTTCATTGGAAGTCCAATGGAATTTGACATTTTTTTTCAATAAGTCGCTGAGAGGTCTGGATAGTTTAGAAAAATTTGAAATAAAGCGACGGTAATAACTGGCAAGTCCTAAGAAAGATTTGATGTCTTTGGGTGATTTAGGTGTTGGAAAATTTGACACGCAATTAATTTTAGTAGGGTCAGGCTTGATGCCTTCTGAAGTTATAATGTGTCCAAGATAATACACCTCTTTACAAAGAAAATTACATTTAGCAGGTTGTAGCCGTAAATTATTGTTGCGCAATTTCTGTAAGACTTCTCTTAACCTCTTACAATGTTCTTCAAGAGAAGTTGAATAAATGACAATGTCATCTAAATAGACAAAACATTTAATGCCCTGCAGGCCAGTCAGCACTGAATTCATAAGACGCTGAAAGGTTGCAG